CGAATGACGCCGTTCGCGGCGGTTTCTTCCTTCCTTCCTTGCCTTTCAAAAGAGGGGGACGTCGATTTTACAATTGGTTGTTATGGTTCCTGGATTTAAGTTTCATCCGTACAGCCACGCAGGGACGTCCTTTTAAAGAGGCTACGGGTGGAGGGAGTGCTTACGCCTCCTGTTTCACAGTCTGCCCGCTTGTCTTGCCTTTTCCTGTCCTGCTTGCTTGCTTTATTTATTTATCCATTCATTCATTTATTTATTTGTAAGGTGGCTTACAATAATGAAAGCCAATATTTAAAGTTGAAAACAATAAGTAGTATACCACGTCGGTTAACATAATTAAAAGACAATATTTAAAACTACAATATTTGAAGAGCCATCTTACATTATTAACAAGCAATGTTAAGGCAAAGATCAATAAGTATACAAATATTTTTAAAAATATGCCACTCTGAGAAATGGAAAAGACAAGTAGTATTAAAAATCCAATCAAAGCAGTAATGCATAGCAATCTCTCTAAAATCACGAGGAGTTAGCTAGTGAGAGGATGTGTGGAATCCTCCCTTTTAAGGAGAAAGGTGAGTAAGTAAATAAAGAGATAAATATGGACTGGATTTCCTTGCTAGGTAGAATATTATTATTTTTTATTCCACACACATTGGCCAATAACAGCCAGCCAAGTCCAGACCTTGGAAGTGGGACAGTGGGAACCATTGTCCAGCCACTTCATGCATGGAATTGATTACACTGATGTTCAAAAGCTGACCTATAACCATGCTTTCTTCAGTTAATGTAATTTATATACCATTAAATAAAATAAATTAAGATACTGTGAGAGACGGGGTGAGAGAATAGAGGCTCTTGCCAGAGTATCGTCCTCCCTCAGGAAGGAACAAGAGGTGCAGACAGACCCATCTACACCATCCATCAAGACTATACAAGGGTGAGTTGGTACCTTGAGTTAGAGTGTGAACTGTCAATGATGGTGGCCACTCAGACTGGGGGAGAATTGGTGGGAAGAGAAGAAAAAGGGAGGTTCATCGTAGAGGCGGGAATGGGGGATATAAACGGTGGATGTGATACCAGGGTGTTGGGAATTGATTTGGGTGGAAGACCTGTGGACCAGAAAATGGGAAAAGGTACAGGTTCCTATGGAAGAAGCAGATTATCGAATGAGAAGGGGTCTGCCACTGCGCCCTTCTTATTGGGGGGAGTCAGAAGCCCGAGAATGGCGTAGGAAACTTGAGGAAGAAAAGGACGCTGTGGAAAGGGAAGAAAGAGAACGACAATTATGGCGTCTAGAAGAAGCCCGGAGGAGGGGATTCCTGACGGACCGTGGGATCCCAGTCGAGGAGAGGAGAATCCCTTTGAACCCAAGGGGGGAGATGAGGAGACCACCCTGTTTAGCGACAGAGACTGAACCGGTTGAGTTGGAAAACAGCAACCCTTTTTTGAAGGGACCTTGGAATAGTTTGTATAATCCATTTGATAGAGACCTTTGGATGCCCTCGTGGGACCCGTTGGCCACGAGAGACAATGTTGAAGTAGAGATTGATCCCACGGACTTGTTGTCCCATGTTACAATAAAACCCAGCTCTGATTTTCAAAAATGGATGTCTCCAGTGTCTCTGTTGAAACTTGAGGAGGTAAAGTTTGAACTCACACAGATACGCAGATAAAACCCTGTTAATGGCAGCAAATAGTAATTGCTTGAAGTGACCACTGATGATGGTGAAAGAAGAAAGTGCAAAAACAGGCTTAGAGTGAAACATGAAGACAAAAAACATAATTATACGTTGCTTCAGTCATCAAGAGGAGACTGGCCAAGAAATCAGAAGAAGGCTGAGACTTGGAAAGTCAGCTCTGAAGGAACCAAAAAATATCCTCAAGTGTAAGGATGTGTCATTGGAAACCAATGTCAAAACAATCCCTACTGTGGTATTCCCAGTTACATTGTACACATCTGAAAGCTGGACAATGAAGAAAGCTGATTGGAGAAAACATTCATTTCAAGTGAGATGCTGGAGGAGAGCTTTATTAACGCCATGGGCTGTCAGAAAGACAAGTAGATTATAGAGCAAATCAAATCTGAATTCTCACTACAGTATAAGCTAAAATGACTAAAGTGAGGCCATCATACTTTGGACATATCGTGAAAGAAAGAACAATATTTACTGAAAAACAGAATAATGCTAGGAAAAATTGGAAGGTTGTTGAAAAAGAAGACCTAAGGTGAAATTGATTGATTTAATGCCTAATGCTCACACATCCGTGTGAGACGGAAATAGAAACAGGAGGTGTGCAGTCTCCTCATCTGAAAGTAGCTGACATAACTGCGTCTGAGATGAAGGAACTGATGATCAGAACGGCACGCAGTTGGGACTTGAATGCAGAGGAGTTAGAAAGCCCAGGAAACAAACCACCAGAAGAAGGAGTAGTTTTGGTGGGAAAAGAGAGGGATAAGAAGGGAGGAGAGGAGGAGGAGGGGGCATGGGCTACAGCGGAGAGATGTTGGCCAGCAGTTGAGGAAGCTAAAGGAGGGGAAGGCTGGATAGAGATTGTGAAGGAAGATCCATGAACGGGGAAGAAGTGACTCTGAAAGTGCCCACAAAAGAAGCTCAGAGGGAGTGGAGGGAAAAACCAGTGAGAAAACCTCCATACTGGGGAGAAACAGCTGAGCAGGAGGCTCTAAAGAATGAAAAAGATTTGCCCCGGGAGGCTAATAACAGGGAGAACAGAAGATGCCAGGTTTCCCCTGGGAACAATCCTCCAAGCTGCCACCCAGGATCTAGAGAGATGTGGGCAAAAGGACCTGGGAGCCCAATGCGAGATGGGTTTTCCACAAATAAGCCCGTTGGTGAGTTGGAATGTGTCCTCTTCTTCTGTTATAAAGGACTTCTTGTTACCAGTTGCTCATTTATTACAGGATAATGCTTCATAAGAACATAACATAAGAAGAGCCCTGCTGGATCAGGCCAAGGGCCCACCTAGTCCAGCTTCCTCTATCTCACAGTGGCCCCACCAGATGCCCCTGGTAGCACACGAAACAACTAGATATCTGTCTCCTGATACCCCTTGCCTGCATCTGGCATTTTGAGGTACCTTCCTTTTAAGCCCGGAGATTATATATCCCCATCATGGATTGTAACCTGCAATGAATTTTTTCTCCAGAAATCTGTCCAATCCCCTTTTGAAGGCATCCAGGCAAGGAGTTCCACAGACTAACAATACGGGGTCAAGAAACATTTTCTTTTGTCTGTTCTCGCTTCCCCAACACTCAATTTGAGTGGATGTCCCCTGGTTCTGGTACTGCGTGAGAAGGAAAAGAACTTCCCTCTAACCACTTTATCCATCCCCTGCATAATTCTATACGTCTCAATCATGTCCCCCCTCAGGTGCCTTTTCTCTAGACTAAAGAGCCCCAAACGCTATAGCCTTTCCTCATGAAGGAGGTACCCCAGCCCTGGAATAATTTCAGTTGCTCTCTTTGGCATCTTTTCCAGTTCCAGTATGTATTTTTGAGGTGCGGCGACCAGAACTGTACACAGTACTCCAGGTGTGCCTTACTAGCATTTTGTACAATGGCATTATAATAAGGTTCAGGTTCAGAGGACTAAGAATGAGCCTTGGAACCCTGATGGGAAGGATTTAAGTTGTACTGTGATTAAAACTGAAAGAGAACCTGTGTTTGTTGACATAAATAAACCTGTTGATGTTAAATCCGAGTCCTTGACTGCTGCTGTGAGAAAGAAGGAGACATGTCTAGAGCGAGCAGGCTTTCGCAAACTTCACAGTCCGCAGCTCTTCATGTGGCTTGGCGTAAGTAGTACAATATGTAATGAGATGGTCCCATTGTGATCAGGCTTTGTAGATGACTGCCAAAATCTTTAATGTCATCTGGCATCATATTGACAATCTGTTACTCTTGATAACCTTTACCAGGAGCTGCATTCTGCATCAACCACAGCTTCTAGATCAATCTCTAGGGTAGACCCACATGAAGTGTGTTGCAGTGAGTTGGTCATAGGATTATCAGTGCCTGGACCACCATGGCCAAACTATCCCAGTCACAGCTGGGATAGCTGATGATCACAGCCATCAAACCAATCGAAACTGATGATGAGTGCTCCTAACCAACAAGGTCATCTGGGATTCAAGTGACAAGAATAAATATCAAAGCATTCCCAGACCACTTATCTGCAGGTGCAGAAGAATTCACCTTTTTCAGTCTCCACAACACAGGAGCCAATGATGCATAAGACCTCTGCCTTGCCAGGATTTAAACTGAGATTGTCAGCTCGCACTCCATTATTCCACTGGATCTAGACAAATCTCCAAATGACTGTTTCTCAAAAATGTCATACAGATGTTCTGGAAAGTGATAGGAAGAGAATTGTGTCCAGGGCATCCCATAATACAGGTGCTTAGGCCCAAAGGGGTCACCCCCAATTATCATCCTCTATACTTGGTTCTGCAGGTGGCATTGGAGTCATTGCACCATATAGCTTACGTAGCGAACACTCTGTCTTCCTATATACAGTATATATAAAATGGTATTGGCCTGCACCAATGGGAGCTGTTGGGAGGCGTAGCCAGAGAAACCAGGAGGGAGGGGTGAGTCAGAGTCTGGTGAGTTCTGTGAGAGACAGAGAAAAGAAATAGTTTGGGTCTGAGGTAGAGAGAGTGTTTAAGGAGTGATTAGTCAGAATGTGACCTGTATTAATTAAGATAGAAGAGTATAAAAGTAAAATTACTGAAGCTTTGTATAACTTTAAGAATGTGCTTAAGAACTATTCCTGAAACAACTTGTAATCAATAAACCTGTTTCTGTTTAAAAGTTCAGTACTGAATGGAGCTCAGTCTTTCATAAGAAATATACAGTAGGTTGATAAAGAGATCAACTGGTGGCAGTGTGTTAAAGGGCGTGTTGGGATACCTTCGTGAGCTCTGTGTTTGGGAAAACAAACAGGGGCCATGGGGTAAATGCCACAGCCTCCAATACCCACCTCATATGGACATCCTAGAAAGCTGGTCCATGTTGCCAAATGCTTCAGAAGAAGAAACACATTCTGGTGATGTCATCTATCAGTTTAGTCCCAAACCTGGATTGAAATTGATGCAAGTAAACAATAACTCCCAAGAATGCTTGTAGTTGCCTGGCTGTTGTTCTCTTTAACACCCTCCTTAGCAATGATGTTTTAGTGACTAGGCTTTTTCAGCCCTTGACAACTAAGGGGTGTAAGTGGGGTCTCATCAAGACTAGCCACACTACTGCCCCTTTAAGGGCAGCAGACTGATCATTCTCTCACCTAAGGCACATTAACCATATTACTCTGGATCGCCATGCAGTCATATCCCTGGGATATGAAAGCAGTTACTTTATGGAAATGGAATTCACAGAATGCCCAAGCCAACAAAGCCACTGTCTGAGGTATTACCTTTCCTACTCCTCTACTAGATTTAATGGCCAGAAAGGGGATGGATTTAATTTCTGCAAGCTACTTGTTAACATGGTTATTCTTCAGGAACTGAAATTGGTCTCATAATGATAGGATAGATGTAGCATCGGATAATTAAGAGTGGTGCCAGGGTCATACCGAAGACAAGTGAGCGTTTGTGAAAGATGTCACGGTGGGCCTCAGAGGGAGCCATCTACCATTCCACACGACTCTTAAAGGTTCTATGAGATGGCTACCTGAAGATGCAATGGATGCAGCAGACTGAGCCTTCTCTGCCTATACTGCCCCATGGTGGACATGGTTATGTGCTCTAACGCTGTGGTCCCCAACCTTTTTGACACCAAGGATCGGTTTAGTTGAAGACCATTCTCGCAAGGACTGGGGAGGGGTGTACTTGTTATGCAGTAGGTTGTTGGAGGAGAGCTTTGAATCATGCTCATTACATGTATTGTGCTGGGGCAGATGAGTGGCAAGCAGGAGCAGGAGGTGAGCTTCAATTGAAGCTCCTCCTCCTGTTAGATTAGCAGCGGCTTAGAACCTAATAAGAACACGCTGACAGGAGGCGGAGCTTCACTCACTGCTCACTTCCTGATTGCCGCTCATCTGTCCTGGCGGCCCGGTCCTTCCAAGGCCACAGACCAGGACTGGTCCCTGGCCCAGGGGTTGGGGACCCCTGTTCTAACAGATGTTTGGTGACCTCCAGAGCTATGTTCTAATCACTGGCCAGCTAGTTTCAACATCTATTGTATAACAGAGATAGGAAACAGTTGTTCTCTATCCTCTCTTAATGCCTCTCAGATGATAATCTAAGTGGGGTAGGATTGCTCTTTGTCTTTTTTTTTTTTTTTTTTTTAACAGCCCCATATGTAAGGCTGGAGGTGACAGCTAGGTGCCTCTCACCGGAGTGCCATCCCTCCCTCCTTCGGTTGATAAGGAGAGTCAGACCCCCACCTATTCCCCTACCTAGGATGATGTAACAACCCAAGCCAGACCCTAGGAAGATAGAGGAGAGTTTGAAGGACTGAACAGTCGAACAGCCCAGGACTGGTGTGGCTGAAAGGGAACAGAAAGCACAGGAAGTGGTGGAGGTGGGGTTGGTGGATATAAAAGGGGGAAGAGAACGACTCCCACCAGACTGGGAGTGTATATGGGTTGAAGACCCTTGGACTGGAAAAGTGGAAAAGCTGAGAGTTCCCAAGGAGGAACCGGATGCACAAAGGAGAACAGAACTGACCCCCAAACCCTCTTATTGGGGGGGAGAGAGAGAAACCAGAGAGTGGCGTAAGAAATTGAGGGAGGAAAAGGAGAAGATGGAGAGAGAGAGAGAGTAGAGAAAATAGGATGGAGGATGCGAGAGATGCAGAGGATGAAACCCAGGGAAGACCTTGGCAGATGGGGGATCCCACCCGGAATGGTGACTGGGTGGACTTTCAAGATGAGGATGCGATCCCCTTACTGGAGGGGGAGAAGAAACTATTATTGAACACTGATACCCCACTGAAATATCCAGGACCTTGGAAAGTTCATGAAGGAAACCCCTTCAAGTTTGAAGAATGGAAGCTCTGGCAGGCCTGTTGTCTGACTGGGAGAAGAGTTGGAACATGTTTGTCAATACAGGACTATTGTTAAATAATCCAATAAACATTACACCTATTTCAAAACCGAGGAAGTCAGCTAATTTATTTGGAGTTACTACAGAGCCTAACATCAAACCCTCAGACCATATTTGATTGAAATGGCATATGAGGAAACTGGTTAATAGAAACAACATTAGGTAAATAATATTCTTTATAACTGAAAATTACTTCAACTTAAAAATATTGTGTTGCTTCCTATTTGTGAAATTGTGGAAAGTCTGTTTCTAAAGAAACATTTTGCATGCAATTTAAAATAATTGTTAAAATGATATTATGGTTGGGCAGTGTGTACAAACTTGATGAAAACTTGGCCTCCTATAAATAATCTCATGAGAAAAAAAGAAAGTTGATTAAGCAATTAGTATCTGGAATGTTTTGTGTTGTAATCACATTGAGTGATGCATTGTAGTTAGTATGCCATTTGTAATTCTGAAGATGACAGGACATGTTTTTCTTGTTGAAAGCTTGATCTTTTATTGTTTTGTTAAAGTTTTTACTTGGAAGCTAAACTCGTGAAGTTTTTTTGAGCCAGTTCACTCTGTTTGACTGGGAATGGTCACCTTTTTCTGTGTACACAGTTTTGCAATAAACATGTGGGACCAATGTTCCAGTGGTTGTTACTCTGTCACTTGACACTTCAGATAACCGGAACTGCCAAGAAAATATAATTATATATACATGTTGGAATTCAGTCATTTTTAGTACAACTTCTAATAAAATCTTGCAAAATACATGCTACAACTAATGATTAGGAGAGAAGGCTGTCAATGGTAAATCACCAGCTTAGAGTGGCAGCAGGCTTTTTTTTTTCAGTGAAACATCATGAATCTTCCAAGTTAAAGAAACTGTTTTATGTATCATCTAACAATTGAGCATCAGCACACCACCATGTACCATACAGCCCGCAGGAAGTAAAAAGCTTATTGTTTTCGAAAAAATTGGATGAAATTTAAAATGTTATCATATTTTGGATGATCTTACAACTCCTAATTCTGGCTGTCACATCATAACATAAAATCTATTCCTTGTTTTAAAAGATAAATTAGCATTCCTTCAAATTTCCCAAGTCCCCAATTATAAAATAATCAGTCTTTTTTTTAAAAAAAGCATTACCTCAGATTCTGGCATGTTCATACACTTAGTTACATCAAGACTGAAAAACAGAATCCTTTAAAATGCTTTAGCTTCTGTCCTGTTTTGATCCGAGGCCAAATCACATGGCCACTCAGTGTGTGGCCATTTGTTTGTTTTCCAAGTCCACAATGTGGTGGATGTATTATCTAATGAAGAGCCTGTTGAAAACAAAATATCACTCATTGCAAGAATGGGTCATGATTTTGAATACCACCATATAAAGAAAGGTTTCAGAGAGATACACAATGTCATATGAGCATATAATGTATTATTCAGATATTAATAAAAACAGGATTTTCTCGTCTAAAAAAGACTTTCATGTACAGTGTGACCCCCATCTCCATGGGGGATCAGTTCCAAGCCCCCTCCCCCAGGATGCCAAAAACTGCAGATAATAGTGAACCCTATATACAGGATGGTCCTTGGCTTCCTCTGGTGGCCATTTGTTTCTTTTAGTGTTTTTAATATTTTCAGACTGCAGATAAATGAAACCGTGGATACTGATCCTGCGGATATGGGGGTCCTACAGTAATTTGTGTTATTTTGGCCTCTTAAACACAAATTTTTACAAAGGAGGTTCCACAACGTTTTCTTGTTTCTTTTGGATTCTCTCTTTTGTGCTCCCTTTCAGTGCCATCTTGGATATATGCCTGCCTTCCTGCTGAATATCTATCAAGGAACCCTTTCTTTTTTGCCTTTTTTCCTTCGGGGGCGGGGTGGACTTTCCTCCTATTTTTAAGAATTTTTCATTCTTTGTCAAATGGCCTTAGAATTTATTTATTTTTAACAAGGGCTGTCAAGAGCTAATCAGAATGTCTAAAGGAGTTGGATTTTAAATCTGTAAAATGGCTTGAGGCTCAGTAAGGTGTGCCATTTCTTTCAATCATTCCTTGTAGGATTACTGTGTGCTGAGCTCCTGGGGCCCTCCATCTTGGATATATGCCTGCCTTCCTGCCAAATATCTATCAAGGATCCCTTTCCTTTTTGCCTTTTTTCCTTCGTGGAGGGGTGGACTTTCCTCCTATTTTTAAGAATATTATCCCAGTCTGATTTCTTGGAATTGGTTTTTTTTTCCATTTTTGGAAAATTATTTCTGGATGTATATATTTGTGGGAGGGTGTCACAAGAGTAGACTTTGTGACTGTGCCAGTGTGCCACTGGGCTGTGGGCCTGGCTGTCGTTATTGGTTAGGCACTGCTTGGGACATGTCTCACTAATTCTTTTTGGTGTCATGTTGTTGTTAGTCACTTTGGTAAGTGGGTATCTCTGTGTGCTAGGCAGCCAGTGCCTGGCTGGCAATAAAAACTATTATAGTTTATCTGCCAGCCAGGCATAGTCAGATAATGATTTATCTTTGTCATCTGGGTCATGATAAAGATGTTGTTGTTGAATGTAACAATATAAAGAAGTGCCTGCATAGGTCAATTAAATGATTTTGCCTTCTCAAGACCATTGCCTGTTTATAGAGTAGACTGATATTCTGTTGCCATGCATCTGCTTTTTTGGAATACTGTAGTTTTTAAAAGTTCTTTAGGGCTACCAGAGTACCAGAAACTACAAATGAGGAAACAGAAACTCAAAAGATATCTGTTTCATTTAAAATGAAATCACCAGTATATAAAGTATATGAAAACAAAAGAATTATCCCCAAAAGAATCTGAACAAGAAGAAAAAATGATTTTGCCATACATCTCTAATAATCAATTTGTCACGTCTCTGATACAACTTGGACTTTCTATCTTTTTTAAGACAAAGAAGTTTCAGTGTACAGTATACACAAGATATGCTATATTGAGATCTCCATAAGATGGCACTATGACTACAAGAAAAGATTTCTCATAACTATAGCTGTGATAATCTGTTTCAGTACAACAAAAAAGAAATAGAAGTCTTGTGGCACTTTTAATATGAACACATTTGTTTTAGCATCAGCATTCATGGGTTTCGATCCAGTTCTTCAGATGCAAGGAATCTGTGCACAGTTTTCCATCCTCCATTTTAATGTTCTTATCCAGTAGCACAAAAAACAAAACAACACCCAGCTAAAAACTGTGATTTGTTCATTTGTGTGATATAAAGTAGAGTTTCAGCATTATTAATGAGACCACATTTAAAATAACCTTTTTTTCAGTGCAAAAGAAGTGGATGTTTGATTGGTAAAGACTATTTGCTGTTGTCCCTAATCTTTTTTTGAAGAGGAGAAAGAATACAAAGAGTAAATCCAGTTTTCTTCCTTCTGTGATACTCAGAGACTGAGATAATCAGAGGCTGAAATCCATTAGTAAGTAGCAAGTAGAGTAGGCCCATTGTATCAGTGGAATTTATAGAGGAGTTGACTCACCAAATCTCCACTGATCCAATGGGCCTATTCTAGTGCAGTAATCCTGAGTAGCGAAGGCTGGTGCTGCTCTGAAATGATCCAGTGCACATGTAGTTAGCTATTTATTTCAATAATTAAGTTCCCTCCTCCATTATACACACTCCTAGTGTTGCTTGCATTCAGGCAACACCAACAAAAAGCCTGCAAAATTAAGAACAATTTTTTAAAGGAGATAAAAGCAGTATTAAAAGTGCAACACAGATTAAAGGAATATGGGGAAAGCATTCCATAACCAGCATCCCATTCATGCACATACCATACTAGAACACAACACATCAAACTGGAGGTTATCAGAGTAAGGAGAACTGCAGCTAGGCAATCTCTATTACCTCTGTGTAGCTCCCTGGTGTCTATAATGGATGCATTTGGGGGACTGGCCATGGTTGGTATCAGCCATAGTTTGTTGCTTACGCTGTACCGCAGACAATTAGCCAGACTATGTTTGTGGTTTGTTTCTCTCCTGAGTCTTGTCTCTCTTTTCATGTCTTATTCCAGGTAGGGAGGTGAAGAAACTAGAGATGGGTTCAGAGGTCCATGATGATCTGTACATGCAGCACCACAGATGCACACGTTCCCTTCCCCCACCTCCCTGGAAGGATCCCCCGCTCACCAGCCAGCATGCATTCCTCTCTTCCTCTTCTTTGGCTATTCAGCAAGTCTCTGGCAGGAGACAGGGGTTTCCCTGCCCCGCCTCCTCAGCTGATCGCCCACTTAGACAAGGAGGCAGAACAGGCAAACCTATGCTCCTGCCAGGGACTGGTTGAACAGCCAAAGAGGTGGAGGAGAGAAGCACGTCCCAACTGGCGAGAGGGTTATTGACCAGGCAGGCAGGGGAAGAGAATGCACAGCATATACCACATATACAAATCAGCACATATCTCCGAATTAAGGCTTGTGCCTATCTCTAGAAGAAACCAGTTAGGGACACGCAATGTATTTTTTGGTTCAGATGTGACAATAAGCCACAGTTTAAGCAAGGTTTAATAAAACAATTTCTGCCTTCTCACCATTCTCAATATTTTTTGCTATGGCCATAAACACAGTATGGAAGACATACTGTACGTATACTGTAGGCTGAATCAGGATTGTGTAAGCCAAATAATGAAACTTACAAGGAAGGTATTGTGTGAAGAGTTGTTTCCAGTTTGTGGCCCCCTTCAAATATTCCAGGGCCCCCTCATAATTTATGAGAAAAGGGCATCAATTCTTTCTCACTGGTGAAAGTGTTTCTTCATGTTCACAGTGAAGCAGTCAATAAAATCAAATTAAACAAGTTTTCTCTCTCTGTTCTTTATTGTCCTGATTCACCCTCTTTAAGTGGCTCTGTTGACCAAAATATTGCATTAGTTTCACACACAAAAAGGACCCAGAAATTACCCAGTTACTGCCTTTGTTAATCTTGTATGCTTTTTGCACTCCAGATACGGAGCATGCATATTGTACATGGATGTCAAATTGACAGCCCCCACCCCTTCCCCCTGTGTAAATATTAACACTGGTGGAGGGTGAAGGCAGGGTGGGCCAAGGAAAGACGAGAGCAGAAGCAAGGAATAATCAACCAGCAATGTGCCAAATTGTTCAGCTGCTGCTTTGGAGCACTGAGAAACGCCAAAGGCATAGGGAGTGGCATGAACACTGAACTTTCATAAACACCTATCTCCTTTTGACTCAATATCTTAAAGGAAACACACACAAAACAAACCCTATGCACAATCCAAAGGATCAAACATTGTGATTCCACTTGAATGTTCTGCATGGCAGATGCAGAGGGGCTTTTCTGTGGGAGCAACTTGATAATGGGGCTTCAGTCATGGCTTAGTTTTAATAGTAACATATATAAAATGAATACATTTTATAAATAGACATGAATATACAAAAAGTTCTGTTGTACAAAAATGCTGGAAATACGCCTGTGCAATGGTATAATCTTGGGTTGCCAAAAGTGAAAAATTGCCCAGGGGTGAGTGAATTGGCATGTAACGTCATGTTATTCATCTTGAAAAATATTAATTAAAGCATTTAGCTGAAGAAAAAAATATCTAAAACATCAGTTTACATAATTCAAGAGCAAGACATCTTTAAAATATTCAAAATATATAACAAATTTGTTGTATTTGTAAATAGGAGGAGTTGATCATGATAAGTTGCTCCAGATGTAATCTCTCTTGGGTAATGAGTCATTAGTGGTAATAAATTCAATTATATGAATGCTTGCCTGGGACACATTTATTTTGCCCTCATTATCCTCAGTGCACAATATTATACTAGAACATTTACACTTGGCACATGTTGCATATGTTTTTGTACACATGAAATATGAGGTGGCACTAATTTTCCATTGTTCAGTATTTTGAGAGAACAAATAAGTATTTTCATGTATTTAAGGTACTGTTTAAAGATGGCCAAACATTCACAGAACAATATGTATGTTCTTGTAATATGCTGAACCAGCTTTTCTTCACAATGGTGTGTCCCCCCAGATTTTTTGAACTACAACTCCCATCAACCTACACAATTGATGGGAGCTGTAGTGCAAAGGATCTAGCAGGCACCAGGTTAGGGGAGGAAAACACAGCCTTAAATGTAATGCATCAGAGCAGGAGACCTGGCTAATATTTCTGTCAGTTTAACCTTTCATGAGTTGAACCGACCAGGAAGAGAGCATTCATAATATTCTACTCAGTGTATCCATGACATTGTTACTTTTTAAGATTGTGTAATACTGTACTGTCCCCTGACTTCACATTTTCCTCAACTGTTTCCTAGTGATATACTGATAAAACTTAAAATGACAGTCCCCATACCTAGCCCCTTCCCTCATAAGAAAAACCCCAAAAGCACAGCCAAATCATTCCGTATTGACAAATCAGGCCTTTTGTAAAGTTCACGGCTTTCAATTTTCCATTCAAAACCAAACCATCCTCAAATACTTTGCACTTCAACAAGGACAGGTTGCAACAGTGTCCTGTTCCCAAGAAAACCCCTTCCCCCCCTCAGCCAGTGTGAAAACTGGAGCTGAGTTCAGAGGAAACAGGAAAGACTGAGGGGCACGGGCTGATGATGTCATAGCCCTTGCTACTCAAAAAATCTTGGGGCTTTGACCCTGCAGCCTTGATTCCATTACACCACTATTTAGTTCTTTCCTGCATCCTCCTAGCACAGCCTCAGGCTCAGAAGGTCAGAATCTCATTGTGTATCCAGAATGTATTTGCAAGGGCAGTGGCACAGCTTAGAAGAAATCCTATGTCCCAGCTCTGAAACAAGGGCTGAGTTGCAACCTGCTGTGTAATTAGTAAATATGTGAACACTAAATCAGTACTTTCTGGGATGATCTAAGTCCAGTTCTGGTAACATGGAGCCTTACAGTGTCCAATAAACATATTAACCCTGCAATCCTATGTATGTCTGCTGAGATATAAATCCTACTGAGTTCAATAGGACATAATACCAAATCAGTGTACATAGCTTGTAACCTATATGTGTTGTTTGTTTGCTTGCTGGTTTGCAGATTTGCTAGTTTGCTTGCTTATGTACTCCAATCATCCAACTCAGGATGCAGCAAGAAGCATCGTAAGTTTCACAAGGAATAATAAATTTGAGAATGAACCATCCTTGGCTTCTGATAATGTGGTCAATTTTAAAGTCACACTACATTACTTATTAATAAATGTCTGATTGTTTAAAAAATCACTAGTTCTAGCAAAGAAACAAAGAATTTCAGGGGATTACAAATGTAGTTTTGGACTATTTAGAATGCCCCCTTTTTAATCAAAAGAATGAAAAGCTCAGTGCATTGGAAACAATAAATGAGAGTGGACACGTTAACTAAAAAGAAATTGAAGCCGACCTAAGTTCAGGAAAAGTATACGTAAGTCATTACGTTTTAAATGCCCTTGGGAAACATGTTTATTGAAAGAGGTAGAGGGGAAAATGAATAATTTGGAAACGATTCCAACTGATGAATTTTATAGAATGAGGGAAATTAGAAAGGGTTGTTAAGGTGTTAAAGTACTAAAGAGAAATACAGGTAATCTAAAAAGTGAGATCTGGGAGCCTAAAATCTATGTTAATGCTGCTGCCAGTGGAAGGATGGAAGAGGATGTATGGCTTGGCTTGTTTGTAGGAACAGATGTAGAAATTAATTTAAGCAATGATATCCTGGATGTATTGGACAGACATGGCAGCAGAGCAGTTTGTAAAGGCCATTCTTTTTCCACTGTCAAATATATATTGAGGATAGGGAAAGGATTATATGGTTGGCTTTGGCTGCATCTGTTTCCATGAGATTTCTGCATGACTGGAAGAAAGGAGCTTATTAAATATTGTGGGATTGGAAAGAAGGGGAATCTGCCAGCCCAGAAAGCATAAGTAAATGACATCTTGCAAATGTGATTTTTACATTATTTTCATAGCATGCAGTGCCCTTCTTTAGAGGCATCAAAATTACTGCACTTAAAGAATATAGAAGCTGTAGAAAGGAGAGTTCACTGAGTACTGTTGCATTTTTCATTTCACTGAAAAATCAGATTTATGTACTGTATTTCATCTATAGAAAATGTTGATGTGCAAGCCCTAGACAACTGCTAGTAGTGTGATGTGACAAATGGAGAGCAAGACTTGGAGTGACAAATGGAGTACAAATTACTGTATTTCTGGTTTCCTGTCAAGAGGGGATCAGAAGGAGTTCGGACTTTTTATGTAGCATTTTTACTCCTAGGAGTGTAAGCTTGCTTAAAAAGCAAATAAATGAAATGTGACAAGAAAAGGAGTCTTTTTAAACATTATGAATGATTGAAACAGATGGCCACAGGCACCAGCTTCTGGAAACTTCTCATTAAGTGTAGAATGAAGTATTGAATATAAAGAGTTCCTAATATAATGTGCCCTAAATGTACAGTAGTAGTGTTTAATGTGTTACTAATTATGTATCCCTGGTTAAAAAACAACAACATATGCTTAGCCAGTTAACCCAGAAAGGTGTTATTTAAATAATATAATATTTTTCATGTAAGGTTTTTTTTTATTTTAGTCACCTCAAAAAGAAAAATAAGCATGAACTCTGTAAGCACAATTATTTGTTGCTGCTATCTGCTACTAAGTCTCTTCTGACTTACAGCATTTTAATAGGTTTTCCATGATAAAGAAAGCTTAAATATGCCATAAAGGAAGACATATCTAATACTTTAAGAAGAAGCATTTAAGTCCTAGCAGAAGTTAGCAAACCTAATTAGTGGCACATTTGTAACACCGTTAAATCCATATTAAGGATTTAAAGGTAAAGGTAAAGGTACGAGGTGGTGGAGGATGGACGTTGTTAGATGGGTGGGGAATGTTTTTGTTATTTTTTGTTTAAATTTAAATTTGAACTCTGTAAGCACAATTATTTGTTGCTGCTATCTGCTACTAAGTCTCTTCTGACTTACAGCATTTTAATAGGTTTTCCATGATAAAGAAAGCTTAAATATGCCATAAAGGAAGACATATCTAATACTTTAAGAAGAAGCATTTAAGTCCTAGCAGAAGTTAGCAAACCTAATTAGTGGCACATTTGTAACACCGTTAAATCCATATTAAGGATTTAAAGGTAAAGGTAAAGGTAAAGGTTCTGCTGGTCTTCTGACCTTGCAGCACAGAGGCTTCTGCGGTTTAACCCACAGTGCCACCACGTCCCTTAAGGATTTAGTCATACGTAAATCATTGATCCCAACAATTTTTTGCTGGCCTTCAAAATAACAGTTTAATGTAAATTGGACTAGTCTTGGAGGAAATAATTCTCATCTATGACTTCTGATGTGGTTTATAGAAAGGTGTAACTTTTAGTGCAGAGAAATAACTTCAGTGGTAGATTGATAACAATGTTTGATCATAGGATTTTTAAAAAAAAAACTTCAGCAATTTAGGATGGGCTGGAAAGGGCAACTGTTACACATCTAATGCTTAATTACATATTAAGAGTGCATCATGACTGAATGATTTAGAACATAACCATCCCACCCAGTACAAAGCCTTGGGGGAGCTCAGGTAACACAAGCGAATGTCAGCAACAAAATGAAGTTTACAATGCAACTGTAGCTCCAGAGTCGTACTGGTTGCAGGGGGTTAGCAATATACAGAAGTCTCATCTGCTAGTAGAAATTCTCTTATGCTGCTGAAAATATCCTTATGGGGACAGAATCCAATTCTGCCAGCTGAACTGTTCTGCTGACTAAGGTCTGCCAGCAGAAGAACTGTGATAAAAAGGGCAGAGAAGTGAGAAAGGAATTGAGATGCCAGTCCATACCTGTTCCAGTTCTGGTGCACAGCCACTTTGCCAGAACAAAGTTATACCAGGATAATAATAGTCCAGTAATTTTCAACACCCTGAGACTGGAAGAAACTTGGATTCAACTCTTGTGGCCCTCATTCAACATGGCTAGTCTGAATTGTGCTTTAAGTGTCCTTGTTTATCTTGGTCAGGTCCTGTTTTCCAGTAATTGTTCTGGTAAATCATTACTCCCTTTTGCCTTTTGGAAAGACCTTGTTAATGTTTTCTTAGTGTGAAGTGCTAGTACAGCAATGCCTTAGTTTCCCATTTCATGCAGTGGATTTTTAATTTGTTCAAAGACAAATACTTTATTGGTTTTAAAAACAGTGATGGAAAGATGTCTTAAAACAGAAAGTGTCTGGTAGCAGGTAAAATCTGAGTCACTGGGCAAAAATCCTCAATATGTGTATACAGATTTTACAAACATGTCTATATTTTCAAGTGTTTGCTACTAGAAGGCACAGGATAAAATTTTATCCAAATTGATAATTATGTTTCCTCAGTATTTTAAATATCAAAACTGTGAAAGCTACCCAGAATATAGAGATTTCATAATGCTAGGGATTTAGTGAATCCATGGTGGGATGGAACTCCAAAATGAGGGAGGGGGTCACCTTCAGGAGTGTGAGAGTTTTGTGATCAGTTTATCAGGACAAATTCTAGCAGCATTTTGCTGCTTGATTCAGAACAGTCAATAATACAACCTACGTTAGCGCCAGAGAGTGATCTAGTCTGGGTTGCTTTGGAATGGTTTGGAATGATGGGGCTTAATTAGATCACTCCCTCCATTCACATGGAAATTGTAGCTCCTGCAGGTCCTGTAGTTGTAGTCTGGTCAACCATATGCATGTTGCCATTTTAGCTCACTTTGTTTTGGTTTGTTCAGTCACAGTGTGCCCCTCTCCCTTCTCCCTTCCCGCATCTCGCTTCCTGCCTTCTCTCTTGCAATCGCTACGAACTGATTGAGAAATAGGTTGCTTCTGTTTGCTTGTGGGTGGGCATTAATGCTTTTTTTCTGTATGCACTAAAAGAGGGGAGGAGTACAAATGGCCCTGTTTCTGCCCCACATTTTTCCTTTTCTCCATTTTAAAAATTAAGCTTTGGTAAGCCTAGTGCCCTCCCTGTGGACATTCAGGAGGCAATCCCACATTTTTCCTTTTCTCCTTTTTAAAAATTAAGCTTTGGCAAGCCTAGCGCCCTCCCTGTGGACATTCAAGAGGCAACTGAAGACGTGGCTTTTTAGGGAGGCTTCCCAAATCGATCCTAGCTGACCACCATTTTGTTGCTCTATAATTTTTGCACCAGGGCTTTTCAGGGAGGCTTCCCAAACCAATCCTAGCTGACCACCTTTTGTCAGCCATTTTGTTGCTCTATAATTTTTGCACCATCTGGTTTATTGGTTAGCTCTTATCTTTCTTTTAAATATGTTCAGTTTCATTTTGGTTGTTTTGTTTATTATTGTAAACTGCTCAGACTTGTGCTTTGGTACTAATGGGAAGCGGTATACAAATTTAAATAATAAATAATATTTGGTAAGTGGCATAGTGTTTAAGTGATGCAGTGCAATAGTAGAAAAGTATTGTTTTTAACTGAAATATGCTTTTCTCCACTCCAAAATGGGGCAGAGGGTGCCATCTGCAGTAATGTTCCAAGTAAACAGCAGGCTCCAACCCTAGACCAGTGTAGCCAGCCTCACACGGAGTAAAACTAGTATTAGAGTATGTCCATGTTATTTCAACACTTGAAGCTGAAAATCCAGTAAGCCACTGTCCCTGGAAGCAAAACGTTCAACAACAACAAGAAGAAGATGACAAAAACTTGGCTGCTTGAAGTGTCTACTTCACCCTGTCCCAGATTCAGATTGGTCAGTCAATATATGTATAATATGCAGTCACAACAGATAGAAGTCGAACACTGAAACTCTGTTTCCTGTACTGTAGCTTATTCAGTAATATTTTATTGTTATGCAGGGGGGCAACCATGCTTATATATTGGTGTCCCCTTATAGCAGGGGTCCCTGCAGACCAGCTAGGGAAGGTGGAGCACCCTCACTCTTGTGCACATATGCAAACGAATGTGCACGCAAACGAGCAAACAAGCGCATGCGCAAACAGCAGTGCTGGGCTTGTGCAGGTGTGCCCACGCTGAAGCACACACGCATGCACAAACCAGCTGTGTAGCGGTGAATTTGTGGAGTGGGGGTGAGCGGGAGGTCTGTCTCTGCAGCCTGGTCCGGCTCAGGCCATGGACGGGGGTGGGGGCTGGGATCTCTGCCTTATAGAATGGTTCTCCTTTGATACAGAGTTCCAATGGTGCATGTTTCCATTATCGAATAAGACCTATCTGGTTACCCAGTCATTTTCTGATAACTTTCCTGATTATTAATTAGAGATGGGAGTATTCATATACGAATTTCCCCCCCACAGGTGGAACTAACGAGGGGATGGCTCTATGGGGCTGGACTGTCCACTCACTATTCCACCACGTACCCACCCTCGACGGAGCCTTCCTATTGTGTCGTTGTCTGCAATGGATTAGCCACTCCTGGCAGGAGGTGGGATGACAAGCCTCTCTGCCAGGTCACAGAGTGGCTAATCCACTGTGGACAGCGGTGTGATAGGAAGCCTCTGAGGAGCCAGTGGCAGCAGCAAAATTGTTTCCACCTGTGGGGGATATTCATATACGAGTACAAATATCCCCATCTCTATTGTTAACATTATCACTTGCGCCTAGCTTTTAGTTAGTAGGTTTTAATGAATTGTATTTTTAATTATTTTATTATATTCAGCTAGTTATTTTATTGTGTTTGTTTTTATTGTAAATTGTCTTGGGGTTTTTTTTAGTTCTTGTTTTTTTTTTTATTAAAAAGAGATTTAGAAATCATGTCAATAAATTACTGAAAAATATAGCACTGAAAGACAATATAGATATGGGATGGGAGAAGTATGTGAAAATTTCCCTTCCATCTACCTGTTCCACTTGGCTACAGCTGTCTCCTTCCAACAAAGAAGGATGTGGAGGTGTCAGCAGTGCTCCACCAGCCACCCTAAAGAAGATGTGAGATGAAGAGGTTTTCAAACACAAAGGATGATTCAAGATGGGTCTCGGAATCTCAAACCTGATAAAGAAAGCAAGATTGCGCAACACATTCTCTCCAGGAATCTTACACCTTGAACTTCCAGTTTCAAAATGTCGAGATACTATAAAATCCTATGTCTGTGTGTGATAAATAGCAAGAAGAAAAAATAATGTAACATGTTAGAGTTAAGATTATTACAGTGGGTCATATGACAAAACCGAGACACATGTTGTATTATGTGGGAGCAGTGGCTAGAAAGCTGGCTGGATATCTCAATGGTTTAGGTTTCTAGCTGCAGAGTCTGAGGCTGGGAGTTCAATTCCCCACTGTGCCTTCTGTGACTAGAGCCAGCCTGTGTGGCCATGGGTAAACTGCGCAAGAAGGGAATGGTGAACTGCTTCTGAGTGCTTTCTATGTGGAAAACCTTGAAAAAGGTTGTCATAGGCCAAAATTGACAGCACGTTTTTTTAAAAAAAGTGAATAGAAATATTATGATCACAGAAAAGTTAGCTGTCAAAATGTCATACTGTGTTTGGCGTTAGAGGTGCCTTTGTTGCTTCCTTGATTAATATTATGACTCCTACTAATTTGTTTCTAGACACCAGTATAATCTGGGTAATACACCCTATTTTACTAGTTCGCCTCCACTGAAGCTAAAATAAGATTTATACACATGTAGATGGCCAAATGGCTTCCAGTTGGATCTACAACTGAGAAAATTCAAAAATATAAATTATTCCTGCAAATGTCTGGAGTATGTTACTCAACAAATTACCTCCAGATCCACCATTCCCAGACATTAAACCTAGGAATATATTACTCATTTCATTTTTTTAAAAGAAAGTAATTTGTAGCCAAGTTATGCCCCTACTGGAACATGGCCATCAGGACTAAGCAAAAAAACATGCAGATAGGAAAACCCTGCCCTCGCCCACGGAAGTGATTATTCACTGTAAAAGCCTGTCTGTGTTATTTTAGCTAAATTTCATACTGAAGTTGCTAGTAAACATTCAGCTATACTAGCTTGCCTAATCCAATCGTTGAAGGCTTCCAGTACCTTTGAGGACTGCATAAAAGATTTTCAGGCAACTGTTTTTATTATCAGCATCCCATATTTTCAAAAAAACTAGGATAACTTCAGTTTCTATGCAGTTCTAAGCAAACAAATCACATACTGCACTGTTTAAAAAAGCATTTCACATCTCTTTTACACGGCATGAGACATAAAAGATAGGCGTCTTTATAGTGGCTGCTTAGTTTACTCTCTCTTTGACACACATCATGACAATACTGATTTTCTTCACTTCAAAAATCCAACTGTCTACTTCAGTATCCAAAATCAATACAATCCACTCTTTCTCCCCTTCCCCCCCCCCGATTCCCACTGCACACCATAGAGTCTTGTGGTAGTTCAACGTTAGATGTTTGTAATTAATTTTTGTGCACTATATTTATTAAGGCAAGACAATTGTCCATTAAAAATAACTTTATTTACCATATTTGAGAATCCCATTCAAAGTTCATAAATTACCTACAACCATTCTTCGTCATACCTACTATAAATAGCTTGCCAGCTAATACTTTTAGATGGAGAACAGGATGCTGGATGTGCAAATCTTTCTGCTCATGGCCATATGATAAAGCCATATAGTAAGACTCTGTACTAAAAAAATGTACTAAACTGAGGTCCCCAAGCCCTTTTTGTGCTGTCCTCCAACATGCTTCTTTAGTGCTATCACCCTCAAAGCATTTTCCCTCAGATCCACACTCTTCTTCCTTCCTCAGGCAGCACCATCTACTGTTTTTATTGCTGGAAGATGGGATTTTAGCTATACTCTCACTGTGTGTGTATTTTCCTTGTGCTGTAGCTGGTTTATTTTGTACTTCATACTCTGTTAACAAAATGAATCAGCCAAATTCCAGAATAAATGCAACACATATTCTACTCTTCTGCCAGTTTTAAATTACACTTCTCCCTTCAACAATGCTGGTTCAAAATCTGTATGTAACTCTTATGCCCCCGA